CCCTTCAGTCTTCTATCTGACCTCCGTCCTTCCCTTCAGTCTTCTATCTGACCTCCGTCCTTCCCTTCAGTCTTCTATCTGACCTCCGTCCTCCCCTTCAGTCTTCTATCTGACCTCCATCCTCCCCTTCAGTCTTCTATCTGACCTCCGTCCTTCCCTTCAGTCTTCTATCTGACCTCCGTCCTTCCCTTCAGTCTTCTCTCTGACCTCCATCAGTTAAGTTGTCTCTGATCCCTTGGTGGGGCGCCCCTCTCCCCTGTATCGGATGGATGATGCCGCGTTCTATGGAGGCAGATAGCGCGGCTTCCTATCAGGTGGATTGTAGAACTGCTGTTTATGGAGGGGGAACCTGCACCTGTTTCCAGAGACAATATTGGCGTGAGACGAATGTACACGTGACGTGGAGTAGACGTGTTGGCGTGTTGTGTGTTTTCGCTTCCACCTGGAGTATGTGGGGGGCCTGTGTAGGGAGCGCTCCCATCTGATCAGGTGGCTGTACTTGTCTAGATGATCCAGACACGCCGGCTGGAGACGGGATCTGCGCCGGGAATGATGTCACAGAAGTCGCGCCGCCATCTGCGCAGGAAACACGACGTTCCACATGCTGCTGATGCTGGACAGGAAGTCAGCCGTGCGCTGGAATGAATCTTCCCCTCCCACATCATCTTATCACTTCTATTATCGATGAATTGTGTTTATTGATCGTTCTTCTACCTTCTCCGGGATGTGCAGGAAGCCACAGCGACCAATCAGAGGCCGGCGCTCGTTGTCATTCACTGCATGCCGAGACCCGATTGGTTGCCGGAGGACACAAAATTATCATTATTATTATTATTATACAGGACTTATATGGCGCCAACAGTGTGTGCGGCGCTGTACAATATAAGGAAGACATTACAATCACAATACAAGATGGTAAGGAGGGCCCCGCCCCTGAGGGCTTACAATCCTCCTCATGTACCACTGGCCCCTCCCCTCACTGGCCCCTCCCCTCACTGGCCCCTCCCCTTTAGATTGCAAGCCCTCGGGGGCGGGGCCCTCCTTACCATCTTGTATTGTGATTGTAATGTCCTCCTTATATTGTACAGCGCTGCGCACACTGTTAGCGCCATATAAATACTATGTAATAATAATATAGCACCGACAGGTGGTGCAGCGCTGTACAATATAAAGGGAGGCAGTCCCGGGAGCTTACAATCTACACAGGAAATGATCGGTTACTTTGTCAATCAATGAGGATATTGATGATCTTTCTGGCTTGTCCTGGTCATGTGACCTCTCTCTCTCTCCCCGCAGGCCGCCTCCCCCCCTGCCGGCCGCCTCCCCCCCGCACCGCAGGAGATGAGGTCCCTCAGCTGCTTCCTGTTTCTGGCCGCTCTGCTGTGCCGAGGTGTTCATGGGGATTCCGCCATCAGCCCGCGCCTGAAGCTGTCCAATCACGGTGAGTCTCAACGTTATGACTTTTCGGGCGGAATTCCGCTGATTGGGATGTTTAGAGGAAATCTGATGGAAATTTCCCTTCGTGTAGAAGATTTCGGGGAGGAGACACGTAAAGCCCAGCCAACCCGAAAGATGAAGGGTAATCCCGGGGGGTGGGGGGTGCACCGATACTAGTATTGGTGCCGATACCGAGTATGTGGGAGAGTACTGACCCAAATGCTCCGATGCCGAGCCCGATACCCGAGCTTCCGGTATCAGGAAGCCAGGCAGTGAGTACTCCCCTCAGGAGCCCTCAGCCTTAATATGAGCAGTGGGCGGGCTCTTGGGAGGAGTTATGCAAATATAAATATGACTTGATGGGTGGGCGTCGGCCTGGAGGAGTGGGCGTTCCTAGGCAGGTGGTATTTGCTTGCAGACCACCCACATGTGACGCTGAGCCTTCGTGATTGACAGGACTGAAAGCCAATGAATGAAAGGGGCGGAGCCAGGGACAGTCAGGCTGGGGAGGAAAGTGAAAGGAGGCGGAGCTCTATCTGGCTTGCTGCAGCTTCTAGTGAGAAGCTCCCAGTGTGCAGTGACATCAGAGGAGGGGGAGGAGCCGGGACATCTGTGCAATTTTAATGTCACGTTCCTCACCGATTTAAATCTCCCGATTTCCAGTCATTTTGGGGATTTTGCTCCCTATTTATATTCTCTATTTCTGGGAGTTATAAACAAAGTAACATTGTGAAGATGATTTGTATCCATTCCTTGATACAGTTACATAGTATTTGAGGCTGAATAAGGAGGCGGCTCCATGGAGTTCCACCTCTGTGTCTATTGGCTGGCGCTCTGCGCTCCGCCTCAGCGGGATGATCAGGAAGAGCTCCGACTCCTCGCTGATTTATTGATGACATCTGATTGATAATCAATTGCCCGCCGTGGTGGTGCGGAGGGTCGGGGGTCGCATTCATTGCATTGTGTGCAGCGGCGGCGGCGCCATGTGAACGATGAGGCGCCCTATGGAGTAAATCTTTACACCGCCTTCTGCACACACACTTGACCTCTGACCTCCGGATGACATGTAATAATAAAAGTCCTCGGAGGTCGTTCGGAGTGACGGCTGCAGCGGCTGAGCAAACAGCGTGGGGCCAGCGTCTGTAAGGTGCCAGCGCCGTCATTGTCCCCCGGCGCGGCTCCTTTAAGGGGCCCACATAGAGGGGAGAGAAGTTCTTTGTCTCAGATATACAAATCACAAAACTCGACAGAGAGAAGTGTCAGTGCCCGAAGTCCACAGCAACCAATCAATTTAATTCCTGCATTCTGATTGGTTGCCGGGGCTGGGGGGCACTTTAGACATCATCGCTGGTCTTGTGCTGCCTCATAAAGAGGACCTGTAGAGTGTTCCAAAAAAAAAGGTCCATCAGAGGGCGCAGTCCCCGGTGTGGTCTGCCGTCTCCCTGCAGCTGAGCTTTTCCCCCTTATAGACTCACCATGCCGTGTTCTGCACTACTCTATGTGGTGGCGGCCATCTTGGTACAGGCAGGGATTTGCTTCCTCATGTCAGAGCTGCCCCCCCCCCCCCCAAACACCAAACAGTCTTAGACCTGGGGGGG